CTTCTCAGAGGTCTTCCTGGAGCAGCCCCTCTCCCCGCAGCCCCCAGACAGACCAGGAGGCCGTCTTCAGTCCCTTCTCCATGTCCAGGGCCCAGCGGCAGCTGAGCGGGGCTCCGTGACATGCGCGGTGGTCAAGCAGTTACGTGACTCTCGGCCCCGCTGGGACTGTGAGCAGACCTGGGGGTGGGGGCCGGTCTCTCTGCTCCAAGACCTGGGACTCACTGGTCTCAGGTGTGAGACAGCAGTGAGGTAGACATCTCCCGGACGTGGGACAAGTACCTAGAGGAGCCTGCATCTGCAGGGAGGCTGGCCTGACACTTCAGAGCCCGCTGCCTGACCCACCCATCGGAGAACTGCAAACTGGCTAGCTGGCGGCCCCCGCGAAAGAATTCAGCAACACCGCACCCTCTGACACGTTCAAAAATCGACGTCGACAATGTGGAAGCCAAAGTGGGTACACAGGGTGTACTTTCGGGGGTATTTTAAATATTGACACTGCAAGCTTGGACTGTTTGATCACTCCACGTAACGCATCCCGTGAAGCTGAAGAGCATAGTGACTGCACCGGCATGTGTGTAAACAGCCCACAGGCAAGCTCCTCTGTATTAATGAGGTTTCACGCCAGTTTTTTCTCTCTGAAACTTGACTTCAGTTCCACTCTTCTCACAAAGTTTTAGCCCAACGTAATTTATCCTTGTGGGCTCCCCTGGTGGCTCAGTGGTAAAGAATCCACCTGCCAACACACGAGATGCAGGTTCAATCCCTGGGTCGGGAAGATCCCTGGAGAAGGAGATGGCAACCCACTCCAGTGTTCTTGCCTGGAGAATCCCACGGACAGAGGAACCTGGTGGGCTACAGTGCATGGGGTCTGAGAGTCAGATACCACTTAGCGACTAAACAGCAACAATACACTTAAAAATTTTTTTATTTGACTTTGCTGGGTCTCAGCTGTGGTATGTGGGATCTGGTTCCCTGACCAGGGATTGAACCTGGGCCCCTTGCATTGGGAGTGCAGAGTCTTAACCACTGGACCACCAGGGAAGTCCTCAACAGTGTATTCTCATGCCTGAAAGTCGCTTGTTGATCACACCATCTTCTCTGTGACAACAACTATGGACATAAACTGGTTTTAAATTTTAAAAAATTTCCTGTGATTCTAAGTCACTAAGTGTAAACTTATTCTGAAAAGGTATGATTACAAATACTAGTACGTGATTGATCAAAACTATAAATATTATAAGTTTTGAGAGATACTGATTACACAAAGTATTATTACACATGACATTTTTAATGATTTAACTGGATTTCCCCCATCTCGTGTACCAGTGGAGAAGTATTACTTATTTCTGCAGCTCCACCTCTTCTTCATTCTTATTTTTACAGCTATAAGCACTCAGAAATCTTGTCACAGAGATGAGGAACAGAAAAGGAAGGAAGGAGTACTGGAGGAATGGCAATTAACTCCCTTTGCGTTTTATGCCAGAAATCAATAGTAATCCATCATAAAGAATTATTTTATGTTGCCACTTGGTGATTGGTAAATGAGGGTTCCTGTTACTATTTGTGCATGCTTCCATTTTTCATAATAAAAGTTAAAGATATTATGATTACTCCCTGTTAGTTGACAAAAGGATTGGACCCTCCTGCCATTTTGTCGCAAGCAAGAAATGGAAACCACTGGACCTGCCAAAGGATTTATCTCCCAGTTCTGGCAGCCCTCACAGCCCTTCTTCCTCTCCAGACCCACTGCAGGACTTCCCCTGGCTTGCCAGCTGGGGGCATTTGCCTTTGCTTCCCAAAGCGAGAAGCTGTTTCCTCGAGGAGTCATTGGAAACCCGTGGTGGATGGCTGGAAACCAGTCCTTGGCCAAAAGACCCGGAGAAACGGTTCAGGCCAGGAAGAATGAAAAAAGAAGACTCTATCTCAGGCTGTACATGCATTCTCTGGCTGCTCCGCCTCTCCCACACACCCTGCCCAGAATCTGCCACCTTTCGGTAGAGAAGACCTGAGTGGGACCTGCCCCGGGACCACGTGGTCAAGGAGGGTGAGGCTGGAACTCTTCACATGCATCCTTTCCAAATACTTCAGCCTGAGAAGGCTCAGTGAATACATTTCATCTAAAATAAAAACGAACAACTAAACGTGATCCGGAATTTGGAATGGGGGTGGGGTACGGGAATGCTATAAAAGACCTCGTCGGGACAACTGGCAATATTTGAATAATATTTTGCAGAGTACATAACAGTCTTGCATCACCATTACATTGCGTGATCTTGAAAGCTCTCCTGCGGTTGTGTAATAGAATGTCCTTGTTCTTGGGAAACACACTCTGAAGGATTTAGGGTTCAAGAGGCAGTATGTCTGTAATTTACTGTCTCGATGCTTGGAGAGGGGGACTTGAATATGCATAGTGGAGGGGCTTGATGAATCTGAGTTAAGAAAGGGGTTGTAGAGTTCTCTGTACTGTTCTCAGAATTTTTCTGTAACTTCGAAAACGATTCATAAAGAGACTGGCGCTGCAGGCCCGGTCTCTGTCGCCGCCTGGCGGCTACTGCGGGGAACGCACCCTCCCTGGTGGAGACATTTGAAACTCCCCGCCTCCCGCAGCGGCTCCCGGCGGATCAGACTCCCGCCCAGGCCATCCGTGGCTGGGCAGGTTTGATTTTCCATTCCTAGGTCCATCCGCCATCTGTGAACCACTGCAAGCGCCTTTCTTGTGCAACCAAGGCGAGGTCGCGGTAATGTTGGTTGGAGGGGAGTCAGTTTCAGAGCTTCTTCCAACCCGGATGCTTTCTGCAACCAGGGAAAGCGAGGCCGGGAGAGGGCACGGGGCACGTCGTCGAGCATGGCTGGAAACGAAGCCTTCCTGACTTCTCTATTCTCAGCAAACTGCTGGCCCGTCTCTTCATCCAGTTTGACTCAAATGCAGCCTAAGTCTGGGCTCCCACGGTCGGCTCTCTGACTTCACTCCCTCCCGCCAGGCACCTCCCCCAGACCCGTGTCTCGGTCCACACGGCCCCTCTGCCCCGACTGCCTCCCCGAGGCTGCCTCTTCCTCCCGTGCTTTCTGCCAGGACGTCACCTGCCCAGAGCCTCTGGCGACCACCCCTCGCTGAGCCTTCCCTCGCCGATCTCCCAACTTGTGCAACCGTGCAGTCACTTGTCGTCTAAACGATGCTCTGCGCCCCTTCTGCCCCCGTCCCCCACTGGAATGGGGGCCCCCTGCGGACGCGACCCTCTCTGGTTCCCCGGGTACAAAGCGGGGGCGCTGGCGAGGACAGCGGGGTTTGTCCCGTCTCCTCGATTCCCCAGCTTTGCAGACACGTGACCGTCGGCGAGGGAATGTCCCCTCCACCACCACCCCCCACCCCCACCGGCGTCTGTGATTTCAGAGGGGCTCAAAGCCCCAGGGGGTAAGGGAGGAGCGGGTGGCCGAGTGACCCTGGTCTCTGGGGACAGCGTGCTGGCCAGAGTCCGGAGCCAGGAGCACGCGGGGCTCGGTCCCCGGCTCTGGCCTCCATCCTGCAAACGAGGAGGGGGGTGGCACCGGCGAGGGGAGGCTCCACTGCGCGACCCGGGGGACCCCCAGCCCCGGGCCCGCGGAGGGTCCCACCCCCGGCACAATGCGGGGCGGGGCCGGAGCGGACGTGCGGACAAGGGCCCTCGCCCACCCGGCGCCGCTTCCGGCCTTTCCCAGCCCCGGCGGGCGGGAGGGGGCACCGGGGAGGCAGGCGCGGCTCCCGTCCCAGGCTGGGACCAGGCAGCGCCCGCACAAGGAGCCTCCCGCGGCCCCCACGACGGCGGCGCCCTAGGAGATGAGTACCTCCCTGGCCCGTCCCGCAAGTGGCCAAGGGGAGTGGTGGCTTAAAAAAAAAAAAAGAAAGGTTTTGCTTTGTTTTATTCCTATCGAGATGTAATTTAGCTAGAGGGAAATGGACAGATGTCAAACGTGAATGTTTACACTGTTATGCAGGAGAAGGAAATGGCCACCTAGCCTAGTATTCTTGCCTGGGAAATCCCATGGACAGAGGAGGCTGGGGGGACTACAGTCCACAGGGTCCTAAAGAGGCTGAGCGACTAAAAACAACTATCGTTATTCATGAGGGCTCCACCTTCACGACTGCTCATCCCGCAAAAGATTCCCCCTCCTAATGCAATCACATTGTGGATCAGGACTTAACAGATGAATTTGAGGGGGGACCACGTTCGACCTACAGCAGAGCCTCCGGAAGAGTCACTGAAAAACAAATGAGGAAAGGGGAGCGAACACAGGTGCTGTCTGGAAGCCCAGGATGTGGGAGGCAGGCAGCGAGCCCAAGCAGCCGGCAGGCAGGCCGTGCTCAGGGCTGGACCACTGCGGGGCCACCTCCTGAACCCGGCGGCACCTGGAGGCCGGGCCCTGCCTCCCAAGCCCCTTGTGCTCTGAGGTTTGGAAGATGGGGAGGTGGGGCTAGGAGGGGCCTGCCTCCCGGCCTTCAGCAGGTCCTCGTTGCACTTGTGCTGTATGCGGGGCACTCTGGCACGCAGCACCAGCCGCTGCCCTGGTGGAGGTGCCAGGCTGTCAGGAGAGGTGGTTGACACCCCCGATGAGCTGGGAGCACCCCTGTGAAGGGGTCCGTGTGAGCAGACACTCGAGTGATGAGAAGGCGGCAGGCCCGGGGAAAGGGCGTAAGAGACAGGGAATAGCCAGGGCTAAGGCCGGGGGTGGGGGTGGGGGGGAGAGGGCACCTTGGTTGGCCTCGGTGGCAGAGACAGAGTACCGCCGCGCGACAACAGAAGTTTCTTTCCCTGCAGTTCTGCAGGCCAGAGGGCTTCCGTGATGGCTCACACAGTAAACCATCTGCCTGCAATGTGGGAGACCCGGCCGGACTGGACCCCTGGGTCAGGAGGATCCCCTGGAGAAGGGACTGGCTTACCCACTCCAGTATTCTTGCCTGAGAAAGCCTATGGACGGAGGAGCCTGGTGGGCTACAGCCCATGAGGCCACAAAGAGTCTCACCGGGCTCACTGGAGGCCAGAAGTCCAAGGTCAAGGCGTCAGCAGGTTTGCTTTCCCGACATCTCTCTCCTTGGCCTGCAGATGGCCCCCTTATCGCTGTGGCCACAGATGGTCTGTGTGGAGACTTGTCTGTGTCCTAATCTCTTCTTATAAGGACACTGGTCCCACTGGCCTGGGGCCCACCCATATGACCTCGACTTAACTTAATCACCTCCTTGAAAGGCCCCATCTCCAAATGCAGTCACATTCCAAGGCGCTGGGGGTTGGGACTTGAGGATGTGACTCCGGGGACACAATTCAGCCCCTGACAGATGGCTTTTGCTCTCGGGGAGGTGGGGGCCTGGCTGAGTGTTGAGCGAGAAGAGACAAGATCTGATTTGCATATTAATAAAGATCCCTCTGGCGCCGAGGCGGGCGGGGAATAGACTGGGTGGCAAGAGGGGGTGGTGGTGTTGAGACCAGTGAGGCGGCTACTGCCCAGTCCAGGCTGGAAGCTGGTGGCTGGACCTGGGTGGCAGGGTGGGCGGGGAGCTGCAGCCAGACTCTGTTCTGGGGTGCGGGGCCAGGAGGTTTTCCCGAAGGACGAGTTGGGAGGGTGCGGCTTCCTTATCCAGCAGGTGCCTACTGTGTGCAGCCCTGCCCCCACAGGCGAGGCCCCGGGTCTGCTGACTCCGGCTGACTTCTCCTCTGGCACTTCCTTCCCAACTCCTGGCTGTGGATCCTGACCCCCCCCCACTTGGACAAACATCTTGCGGCCGTTTCCTCCTCGCCTGCCCGGAGCCCCTGCCTGGCCTGAACAAACACTCGGGACCTGCGCTTCCGGCCTCAGCTCTGGGAAAAGCCCGGCCAGGGGCCGCCGAGGTCAGCCCTGGAGGGAAGTGGGAAGGGGGGCGCCGGGGCCCCGCCTGGGGTCCCGCCTGGCCGGCCTTGGCAGCATCCTGCGCTTCACTGACCCCATCCGTAAAATGGGCCTAATCCCGCCCACCTCAGAGGACCCTAGGGAGACAAGACGCACCCTCTGGGCCTGGCATGAGACGGGGACACTGCCCACCCGGCCGTGAGAGGCCTGGGACGGAGGGAGGCTCCAGGGGACGCCCCCGAGGGACCAGAGTAGCCAGATTTAACTCTCCTCCTGTGGCCTCCCACTTCTTGCTCCCATTTCCGAAAAGTGTCCCACCAGGCTGCCGCTCCGGTCCTGTTCCCGACGGAGCCTCCCGGTGTGTTGCTATCAGAGATTAGGAACCAGGCCCGGGGTGTGGCAGGAGTGGGCAGTCTTGACAACGCAAATCGGCGAAGATGGTGGACGGTGAGGAGCGAGCTCCCCGTCACTGGACGTGTGAGCAGAGCCAGGCGGATATGCAGGAGGCATCCCCTGCCGACACTTCCCCCTCCTCACCTGCTCCCGGCATCCTGGGGACCGGGGGCCAGCTAGTGCGTTCTGGGGCTCACAAAGATCCAGATTCCAATCCCAGCTCCACTCTGTGCCCAGGCCCTCAGTTTTATGTGTGTGAAGGGGTCTGAGAGACCTGGCCAGGGAAGGCAACCGGGCCCACGGTGCTCACCCCACTGAGGGGCTGCCGGGGGCACAGGGCCAGAGGCACTGGGTGTCCCCCCAGGGGAGAGGGGTGGCGTCTGGGCGCCTCCTCCACTCAACCCCCTACTTGAAGGCTCTGCCAGAGAAAGCCTCCCAGCTGGGGTTTGATTTTGATTTTATTTTTGTTTTACAGGCAGGATCTGGGAGTGGAAACAATGGAATTAATGTGTGTGAGGGTTTTGGTGTGTTTTTTTTTTCCTTTGGAGAAGTTTCTCCTCATCTGCCGGGTTGGATTCCCACCTCAACTTCCGGTCTTTGGAGGAGCCCGCAGGAGAGGATGGGTGTGGGCGGGGCGGTCAGGAAGGGGAGAGCTGGGGGTGGGGGGCGGTGAGGAGGAAGGCAGGGCTCCTTCTGGCTCCTGGGTCTTTGCACCGGCTGTGCCCCGCCCCCAGCCCCTGCTGTAGCCCCTGTGCCTCCTCCAGGAAGCCCTCCCTGACCTCCCCCACCCAGGCTAAACAAACAGGAGTCAGCACCTTCCCGCTCTCATTCATCGGCACTTCATCTTCCACTGCGGACTGGGCCTGTTGGTTCACAGCTCTCTCCTCTGCTCAGCACTCACGAGACACCAGCCGCGTAGGGCACAGAAAGGGGGGCCCGGTCCTACACTGCGGTCCTCACTGTCCACTCAGGGCCCTTGATCTGGGACGGAGAAGGCAAAGGGCGAGTCGGGCGGGGTCGGGAGGGTGGGTGGGTACAGGCACAGAAGTGGGTATGGACGGGGAGTGCTCAAGGGCTGGACTCCCACGACCCTGGTTGTCAATCTGGGCAGTGAGTTCTCCCTGAGTCTCAACTTCCTCCTCTGTAAAATCGGGATGACAGCCCTACCCGGCAAAACTAACTTGAACGGCCCCAGCGCCCGGCCCGGGAGGCGCCCTGCAGGTGCTTTAACCAGCTCAGCAAGGCGGTCAGCTGGGCTTGGTGCCCAGGCGGTATGGTCTCTTGGCTGGGAGGGTCCGGGGCATGGAGGGGAAAGCGGAGCCCCAGACCCGTAACTCACAGATCCACTCAGGTACCGGTGCTCAAAGTAATGCGACCGGTTCCTCCGCACGCCCACCTCGCCTTCTCCCGGCATCCTCCGCCAGGGGCCGAGGGTCCTGCAAACGCAAACCTGCAGTAAATAACGCTGATTGTAGCACTCACGAGCCTTTTCTGAGGCTCCTCACTTAACCTCTCGGTCCCTCCTCTATCACGTGGGGTCAGCGCTGGGTGGGCACGTGCGCGTCGAGAGGAGCAGGGCCCCTGCCTCCCCTCAAGCCTTGAGGTCCGGAGGCCTTGAGATTCAGTAAAGACAGGGGGGCAGGGAAAAACAGCAGCACCTACGGGCTGGATAATAAGATGGAGAGGCGGGGCGCTGACCTCTGGCCGTCACGCGCAGATACTGGGCCCCCACGGAGGATGCTACGAGCCTGCCCGGCCTTACGCATGCGCGTGGCAGTGGGTTTCCCCCACATCCGTCAAATAGCAGAGGCGGCGTGTTCGTGCCCACGCGTGCGTGCCCAGAGTTTGCCTGGCTCCACCCCAAGGTAAGGTTTCCGGTTAGCCGGGAGAAACTGAGGCCCAGAGCAGGGCGGTGACTTGTCGGGGAGCTTCAGAACTGGGGTTCCACCAGTGCTACCTTTCAGAGGGGACCTGCGGACCACCCAGGTGAGTCCAGCCCTGGAAGCGTCTGGGGTGGGCGGCGCTGTTAGCCCTTCTCGGGTGGGTGACCCCCGACAGGTGGCCTGCCGAGCGTCTGGTACCCGGCGGCGGTGGCGTTGTCTCTCCCTCTGGGCTCTGGGGCGGCGATAGGGCCTGGGCTGGGCCGAGGTAGTCTCCCCTCGGAGTGCCCCCCTCCCCGGCTCCGGGCCCCACCCCCTTGCCTTTGTAGGTGCAGCGGTGCTTTTGGCCTCTGATTCTCAGCCAGCATCCACCATAACCCTCATCCTCCCCACCCGTGGCTTTTGTCTTCTGTGGCCTTTAACACAAATAATACACACGTTTCTCTGATGAAACTTAGAACATTGAGACTCGAAAGAAAAACTCCAAATTCCCCCCTCCCACCCAGCAAAGCACTCCGGTGCAGGGGATGCTAGTGGTGAAGTTCTCACCTGCCAATGCAGGAGATGTAAAACACCTGGGTTCGATCCCTGGGTCGGGAAGATCCCCCTGGAAAAGGGCCTGGCACTCCAGTATTCTTGCCTGGAGAATCCCATGGACAGAGGAGCCTGGCGGGCCGACAGTCCATGGGGTTGCAAAGAATCGGACACGACTGAAGCGACTGGGCTCACATGCACGCACCCAGCAAAGCATCAAGGGTTCACCCTGCCTGATTCTGCCTCTCCCCGGCCCTGTAACCCGCGGCACACACCCTCGGTGGCGGGATCTCAGGGTGCCCATTGGCAGCTTCATGGCACGTCCAAGCCCAGGTCCCGGAGTGGAGCTCCGGCTGCCAAAGCCCTCGATTCCTGTAGGGGCGGGAGATGCCCACCCCGGCTGTGGCATGGAGGGGGAAGTGAGAGCGGAGGGGCAGGGGTGGGATGACATGGGTCCAGTTGAGGAAGTGAAAGTTCTCCTGCAAACCTCCCCCCCCCAGGACTGATGGCAGCCCGCCTGCACCACCCCTTGTCCCGGATGGAGGTTCACAGGGTGGTGCCCCCCCCACCTGACCAAAACCATACTGGGGCCCCAGGCTGTGATGCTGGGAGAAAGGGGATTTTCCTGGTCGCTTGCCCTGGGAGCCTCAGCTCAGGGGGGACCATCCCAGCCTCAGACTCCAGACCCTGGCCTGACCAGCCAAGCCTCTTGAGTGAAGACAGGGAAGTCGGGGGCCTGGGGTGGTGGTGGGGCTACTTGTTTGGCTGTACTGTCTTCAGGGAGAGACTGAACCGGGTCTGGAGCCCAGCCAGGGGGCCTCCGACACCTGCCCAGACGTTCGCGGTGGCGGCCTCCTGTCCTCTGTGAGCACTCTCCTTGGCCTCACCGGGCGGGGTTCGAGTCCCCCGCGGTCCTCTATGGACGCGGCCTTGGCAGGCCCCTGCCTGTCTTTGGCCTTCTGTGAAACGGGGCGAGAGATTGCTCGTGCTCCTGTGGGGAGCAGATGAGATGAGTATCGGTCCCCCCGGGGCAGGCCCCGGATGGGTGTCAGTTGGGTTGGAAGGTTCGGGCAGGTGGCCTATCCTGCCCCGCCGACCGACCCCAGGTGCAGAGGGACAATGGGCCAGGGGCTCCATCTGCGTGGAGCTCACCGGCTTCCTCTGGGGAGAGGGTCTCCCCTCCTATCCCCTTCCTCCAGGCCTCCTTCCTGCTTCCCGAGGCGCGGCTGGCCCTTCCGTCCAGGCGCTCATCAATTGCACCCAAGGTGCTGAGCGTCCGGTCGGCCTTCTCAGGCCATGACTCACTTCCTGTTTCCCGGAGCTAGAAATAGCTTCCTCTGGATGCTGGGCCAGTACTGGGGGGCTCCCTCCCTGGCAGCTACTCAAAGTCTCTGCAGCGCATCTCCCCTCCCCGCCCAGGCCTGGGCACCACCCACCACTAAGTCTGTGTTCTGCTGGACACCAGACCAGCCCAGGGACCCATTCCTTGCCGGCTTAGGGATGTAGGAGCACCCGCTGGGGGTCTAGCCCTGGGGCAGCAGCAGTGGGCCTGCCCTCGGATGTCTCCAGACACTCACCAAATAACCTGGCTAGGGCGCCCTGAGCCCTGGGCAGGGAGGGGGTGGGGCCTCTGCCCACTGTGGAGTCCGCAGGGGTCATGGGTGAAGGAAAACGGGTGGGGCTTTACCCCCAAGAGCTTTTGCCTGGTTTCAAGTTGTAGAAAAACAACGTGAAGAGGTTTGCAATTGGACAGTCTCCCTGAGGCTGCTTCAAGGAGAAGTGATTGCTGGAGAGGCGGGAGGGGGCGGGGCTCAGACAGATGATGTCGTCTCAGGCTGATGGGAGGGAAGAGGGGGTGCCCCTGGACAAATGGGAGGAAAGGACGGGGTGTCTGGGTACCCCCAGGTTCTGCCTTCAGTGCCACGTGTGACGCAGTGGAGGCCTGGGCTGGGTCCAGGCGGGGCGATGCATTCAGTCCGTGACTGTGGACAAGTCACTCAACTCCATTCTGCCTTGCTTCCCATCTGCAGAATGGGTATAATAGAAGGCCCTCCGTCATGCGCCGCAGTTGTGAGGAATAAATGTGATCATCCACATGCAGCTCCTGGGCAGCCTCAGTAAACTGTAGCTGTTTTATTTTCTGCCTTGGGCCCTGTAGGTCTTTTGCCATGTGCTGTGAAAAAGATGATGAGGCTCCAGTGAAGCTGAGAGGCACAGCCTCACCCCCATTTTGCAGAAGGGGAAACAGAGGCGGGGGGGAGGGGGGAGAGAAGGGCTCTGTCCAAGGTCCTGCAGCTGGGGAGTGGCGAGGCAGGATGCAAACCTGGTCCCTCAGGTCCCAAAGCCTCCCCACACCACCCAGGGACCTCCAGAGTGTCCCGCCCCTGCCTGTGGCCCTAAGCTGGGGGAATGAGTTGACACCAGCATGATAAACCCAGCCAAGTCACGTCCTCATAGGAAAATCTGTATTTTTAGACTCACAAACCCTCCCCAGGCTGGGGCGGGGGGGTGTCGGCCTTCCCTGGAAAGTGGGTGAGAGCTCGTGGGGGCATCAGCCGGACACCAGGGCCCTGGAGCTGTGAGGAGTGGGTCAGCCAAGAAAGTGGCGAGAGGACTTTAGTTCATCTCCTTGCCCATCCATTCACTCACTGGTTCATTCCCTCTCGTGAGCCTGCTCTGAGTCCCTGTGGGTGACCCAGGTATGCCCTCAACAAGATCCAGCTCCTGATGAGATACCCCCTGGTTGGTGTGGGCGCTGTGGTGGTGGCCGCGTGGGGGGCCGTGGGACCCACCCAGCCTGGGAGATCAGGGAAGGCTGCCTGGAAGGGGAGGGGCCAGAGCCGAGTCTTAGAGGCACTCTTGGAGGCTCAGTCAGGGGGACAGGGCAAGAAGGGAAGTTTCAGAGTCATGGTGAAACGTACCATTCATATCAGGAACTGGGGGAGCTGCTGGGCCCTGGACTCAGACTCTGACCTGGAGTGGGGGAGGGATGCGGGAAAGTACCAGCGAGGACGCTGGCTCATCCCGAGCCTCCTGGCTGTGGTCAGTGGAGACTGATGACGGGTGGCGTCACCCAAAAGTCCCTAGGGGACCAGTTCCAAGTCCCTCCCTCGGGGGCTGTAGCCAGGCTGAGTCACGCCCACGGGCCGGCCTGCCCGTGGCTAAGGGCCGGGCCTTCCAAGGCCTTAGGACTTTCCTGGGGCCCAGTGGTAATGCATCTGCCTGCAGCGCTGAGGACCTGGCTTCAATCCCTCGGTCGGGAAGATCCCCTGGAGAAGGAAATGGCAACCCTCTCCAGTACTCTTGCCTGGAGAGTCCCAGGGAAAGGATCCTGGTGGGCTGCAGTCCATGGGCTCGCAAAGAGTCGGACACGACTGAGCAACTAATACGAACTTAACTTCCAAGGCCCGAGGCTGGACTACTCAGGGTCACAGGCTGAACCACCCAGAACCAGGCTGAACCCTCCAAAGCAGAAATTGAGCTCTTGAAAGTTGGTGATAAAAATCTGGCGGTTTGAGGAGGAAATCCTCTAGCAGTTTTGGGGGCAGCAAGCCCAGGGC